TAGAGGGCGCCACAGTGGTCACGTGACTCGCTGACGCAACAATACACTTAATTTCAACAGTCGCTCTGTAACAAACGCTCATGTCTCACGTGGCCAACAATATTTTGTCCGCATACATTCAATTACTCATTACCTACACATTATCCCGTCACGTTGTGACCATCCAATCCAGTAAATGCTAGGGCATTCACGAAGGAACAGGATATTTCTGGAAAACAGGAGGCGTGATACTAGTCACGTGACCTCGCTGACGCAACAATATTGTATTCACCTGTTTAAAATCAACTAAGAACGTGAGTGTACCATTCTTCTTCATAACAGACTATATAAAATAAAAGTTTTACTATGTAAAACCGATAAAAACTTGTGTGAATCACTGTAATTGTTTTTTATTTTTAGTTATCACACATTACAACTGAATGTTTGTTTCTGCGCTAGCCGTCCCTAATTTAGCAGTGTAAGACTAGAGGGAAGGCAGCTAGTCATCACCACCCACCGCCAATTCTTGGGATACTCTTTTACCAACGAATAGTGGGATTGACCGTCACATTATAACGCCCCCACGGCTGAAAGGGCGAGCATGTTTGGCGTGACGGGGATTCGAACCCGCAACCCGCAGATTGCGAGTCGAGCGCCCTAACCACCTGGCCATGCCGGGCCTACACCTGAATGAATAGTCTATAAATGAGCTATTACAGCTTTTAAATCTCATGAGCATTGTAACTTGTAGGCGAGGTTATCATATTACGTTTGTGAAGGATGATGAGTAATATTTTAAGTTATTGATATTTAGCGTAAACCCATACAATGGATTATTTCTTTTTAGCCCATCGCGAGAAATCCAGTCTCGAATTTTAACTTTTTCAGTAAGTAAATTTACAATGTTAAATCCGGGGATAGATTCTTAGCTACTGATATAGTAGAGAGCCCATTCTGTATTTGCTCTAAAACGAACAAACAAGAACATAATAATTTATTTACAGGGGGGTAAACGTCAACTTTCTAGTGAAACTACACAGGACCAGCTCGTGGTCTACTGTCACTGTCACAATTCCATGAAAATACATTGGCATTCTTATGTTAGATATGAGCTACAACTTTTAAACTCTACACTACTTAACTGAATAAGTACAGTTGTTTAAACATTTGTTTAACAAAAAGTTAAAGCCTAGAATGGTCTATTCTTTCATTGGGGTGTGTGTTACAAGTTCTTCAAATACCTATAGAATGATAGGTTTCTTTTCGTGTGTGTAAAACACGTAAATATACCTGTTTGATTTTCGATACCTCTCTAGTATGAAGGCTTGGTTTGATCTGATATTTCATTGGTGGTAGTGCCCATGGTCACTGATGAGGAGTGGAATTCTCCGAAACTAGTCTGGCTCATAGACACACACACCCCAATGAAAGAATAGACCATTCTAGGCTTTAACTTTTTGTTAAACAAATGTTTAAACAACTCTACTTATTCAATTATGTACAAGCTGCCCAGTGTCAGATAAATATACAATGAATTAAATTGTAGCGGATTGTTACAAGTTCTTCAAATACCCATAGAATGATAGGTTTCTTTTAGTGAATGTAAAACACGTAAATACACCAGTTTGATTTTCTACACTACTTTTTAGAAAGTGACAAACAAGATGGCCACTATAACTTCTGCTGTCAACACGTAAAAGAGGTCAATGCTCAATTTAGTTCAATGTAGAGATCAGCGTTTGTCAAAGTAAACCTCACACTCAGCAATCGAGGATAATAGTTTCTTCATTTTTCAGATATTCAACCATGAAAAACTAAAGAAACAACAGAACATGAAATTCAATCGTCAAAGAAAGAAGTCATCAATTTGTATAGTCACAAAATCGCCCACAAACAGCTGAATAGTGTTACAACATTTTCATGGTTTAGTGAATATATAAAATGTGTTACGTATTGTTTCGGGAGATATAATTGAAACGAAAATTACCAATCCTTTATTATATATATAGAGTTATAAAGAGATCCTTTTTTTAATGCTTTATTGAATTCTGTACAGCCTTTGTTTTGTCACATTTTATACATCTTTAGAATGTCTACATGGCGATATCTAGCTACTTTTTTGATGTTTTTCTGGCGATTTCCTGTATTCTCACCAGTGTTTTGTGGTGATTGGAGATGGCAAAATGTGAAGGTGGTTACCAGTAGTTTAATTTGGTATTTCCGATAATTGCAGATTTTTTTCTAAATGCATTAAAATGAAATGTTAAAGCAAGTCATATTTTGATAAATTTCGTAAAATATATATAACTGTAGAAAAACGTATCTATTGAAATTATTTAATTAGTGCTTAATTTTAAAACTTTGATTCTTCGAAGTTCGAGCTAGAAACATATCGCATGCGCAAAAGTAATTTCTGTTAATGAATTTGGAAGTTATGAGATACTGTCAGTGTTGAGTTGTAAAGCTTAGCTTTTTCAAAAGATCGAAGTGTAATTCACATGTTTCTTGAAAGAGGTAATTGCAAACATGAAGTAGCGTATAAAAGGTCACTGATGAAAATAGTGAAGTCTTGAAAAGGTTGAATATGAAAACTGAACACTTTTCTTATGAGGGGAATTGTTTTTTTTTTTGTAAGTCAAGCTTCAGAGAAATTTTAAGGAAGGAAAATGTCATCTTGTAGTAAGTTGAAATATTTAGGATTTGAATCCTTTGTAAAACTTTGTAACATGCAACAAATATCAACAAAACTTTTCCATATTGTGTTGATTGATATTATCTATATTAAAGTAGTTTCTATATATTACATTACAAATAATACAATTGCTATCAATCAGTGGCAAAAGAACGAATGATTAATTCCAAACACAGAACTTCAGTCATTTTTGTGTTTTTATTTTTTACACTTTTTTATTCTTACAATAAGGTGATGCACGAGACATATTATAAAATCTGTCATTTGTCCGTAATGAGAAGAAGCATTTCTGGTGAACAGTTATAATTTATTGAAGTGAGGAGTAAACATCAAAATACATGATCAAAGAACTGGTAGAATATGTTGACTTAACCAACACAGTGGTGTAAGAAATGAAACATTTTATAAAAAATCCCTTTAGAGATGAGCCATGGCATGGCCTGGTGGTTAAGGTGTTCGACTCTCAGTCTGAGGATCACAGGTTCAAATTCTGGTCACTAGATATGCTTGCCCATTTATCTGTTGGAAAGTTATAATGTGATGGTCAATCTCATTATTCGTTGAAGAGCCCAATAGTTGGTGGGTGGTGCTACATTAGGAAAGGCTAAATGTAGATAGCCCTTGTGTAGATGTTTGTGAAATTCAAACAAGTTACTGTAACAATTTGTATAATTAGGTCTAATGTAATATTTAAAAAAACTGTATAGTTCTTGTCCTTTAAATTCTATCAGTTGTATATATTTATAACACATTATTCAGTATCACAATAAGAAATACAATGGATTAAATAAACTTGTTCAAAATAAGAGATATACTCTGTTTCATGATTTTTTATTAGAAAATACAGCAAACACAATCTTACTTAAAGTTTGTAAATTTGTACAAAATTCATATTTCTCAGAATTCAGATGAGTGCTTCTAAAAAATAAAAACATTGATCTACTGTACTTTAAAGAGTTTAAGACCACTTGACCTAACATAAATAACATGTAGATGGGATATACTTTGGTATGCTACACAGATCTATATGTAGGGACAGCTAACAAGAGGCTTGAAAAATATTATGTCGTAGAGTGTGTATCTGTAGCTCTGAATTGTGACCATTACAACCAGCTTTTGTTTAAAAGTATAGAATAGTATTTTAATAACAAACAATGATTAAGTGTTCTTGGTGATTGTCTTGTGGCTTATATTCTGTTTAACTACTTGATGTTTCTGTATAACTAGATCTGATGATCCCATAACTTCTACCTGGTGTTTTTTAGTTGTTTATCTGTAGCTTTAATAGATTCAGTGTTCATCTCTGGATGGAGAGCTTTATTCAATGATGTACATCTTTACATCTACAAAGTTCTCGTATCATTGTTTTTGCATCTATTAGTTGATCACATGACAATGAATCCAATTTCACATGGAGCATGCTAGTAAGATGATTTGGTAATCCATTCCAATGTCTCTTCTTCCCTCTTTATCCTGCTCTGGAACTTGTAATACTTTCTTTTAGTGGGACACTTCAAACCTGTTTGATGAAGAAGCTACAAGTTCTTGATTGTTGTTAAGACTCTTGTCTAGAACGTTGATCAATCTCTTTATATTGTTCTAAAGTATGCATCTTTGGGCATCTTCAAAAGAGAATTTCTTGAAAACTGACCAATCATAAGTTTGGCATCTTTGCCCATATGACCTAAATGTACAATTTACCTTCTTATAATGTTAATGCACACATAGCATAGTTTATTTATTTATTTACATTTTACTTTCATTTATTTTATCTTACTTTTTCTTAATTTACCTAATATTTTTTTCTATCATTAACTCAGACAAAACTTTAAAATAAAACTATTTTAGGCTGTACATGCATATATATTGCTGTCTGTGTTAGTTTTAGCACATAGTTTATAGTTTAAACTTCATGATATGTTATAAAGTTCAAAACTTAGTAGACTACTGTTAGTTGTGAGGAAGGGTGGTAGCCTGAAATGTTAGCTATAAGAATAATTACATCTTTTGTGAGCAATACTTAACTATTTAGTATTTTTACCATACTGATTTTTTGTCAACTGTGTAATTGTAATTGTTAGTACTCCCACAGTAACTATGGTAAAACAGAATAGAAGAATGGATGTTGTTTATGTTAGAGATGGTTAGTGTTTTTGTGAAGAGGTTGAAATCATTGGTTATTTCCAGTTTTTGTGACAATAAAAATTATTTTTGTACATGAAATATGTATCATTTAGAAAGTTAGTTGGATGTATTTATCTGCAATATTACATTTATTGTTATAATATTGTTATTATATTGTTATTGTTATTTATTGTTATTATATTGTTATTGTTATTTATTGTTATTATATTGTTATTGTTATTTATTGTTATTATATTGTTAATAGCTAAACATGTTATCATTATTTAATTATCAATTTATTTGATTTACGTCATTCTTTAAATACACTAAAACTTAGATAATATATAAGCTTAATTTACAACTTTCCTGTATTCAGTTTTTAAGTTTTTATGCTATCTTTGCTGATGTGAAACAAACTTGTAACAGGAGATGATTTCAAAATCTAAATGTATTTCTTGTTTGTTTAGAAATGTTAAGTTATACAGGATGTCCATAACTTTGATGTTGAACCACCTTATTAATTTAATATAATAAGAACAACATAAGAAACAGTTGTTGGTTGTGCTATAATGGAGGCTGACACTTGAACTACAGTTTGTCCATAACCAGTTTATACCTCAAGCTAGCCAATGTCCTAGGGTTAATCATTGTATTTACATTTGTAAATTATGTATGTAACAATGTCATATCTGATACCTTCATCATATAGATAATTTTATTAATTTAATATAATAAGAACAACATAAGAAACAGTTGTTGGTTGTGGTATAATGGAGGCTTCCACTTCAGTGGAAAAGAAACTTTAGATATCAGTCTGTTATATGCCATATATTGCAACTTTTTATCTGGTGTGGTTCCCATTCCATTCATTTAAAAAGTTCAATAATATATGGACATCCTATACTACATATTATAAATATTATACATCTAAAAAATATTATTAGAATAATTCATTTGTGAATTATGTGCACATCAAAAACTTCACTTAGAAGAATAATATGACACATAATTAAACTTGATTATTTATCGGTCTACTTTATTATAATTAAATGTTGGTGTATCTGTACAATAGTCAAGTTGAGAGAGGTGGAACTGTGATAAAGTAAAGAAAATGTGTCAACTCACAGTGAGAAATTGTTATAATGTAGTGATTCACAGAAGTTATTTTAAAATATGTAACAAAAGTATTTATTTTACACCTCTAGTAACAACAGAAGCTACTAGCCCAAAGAAGGATCTTCATTTACTGTCTCTGATTGTAAAATAAAAGAAGAAAAGTATGAAGATCCTAATGATACTGAGGTAATTTGTCTATTAAAAACTTTTATGATTCTTTAATTAGACAAAATAATTAGATATTTTTAGATATCATGTATGCAGTGTTGAAGTTATATGATATCTCACTTGAGATTATAATTTTGTTTTCTAATAATTAACGTTTAAAAAAAGTTCAGTTGTGAATAAGAATATATATCTTTGATAAACAGTAGACTGATGACAACAACAATGAACATTTGCCATGTGTGTGTGTGGTAACAAACATTTAATTCTTAAACATTTCAGAAATAAGTTTTCTAGTGAATATATTTTTAATTTACCTGGTGTGGTTCCAAAACAAAAATACCATTTGTAAGTTTTCAGGTTTTACATGTAGTATTTGTGTTCTGTATTGATAGCATTATTGATTTTTCTTCTGTTTTAGAATACATTTGTCCAAGTAAAAACTGAACAAAGTATTGATTCAACAAACGATGTCATTATTTCCAAGTTCAGTGAGAGTGATGATGAAACTGTTGATTGTTCACAACATGATGTTATGAGTTTGAAAAGTGAACCAAAAGAAGAGTTTCAACAAATTAACTCCGAGTTAGAAGGTTTATCAGGTGAGTGTAAACTTCAATAATTATATCCATTAACCATATGGTGATAGACAATTTTTCTACTAGTTACAGTAACACCACTTGTGTTAACCATATGGTGGTAGACTTTACTAGTAGAAAAGTGGTGTTACTGAATTGTGTTAAGCATATGGTTGGTAGACATACTAGTAGAAAAGTGGTATTACTGTAATGTGTTAACCATATGGTGGTAGACATACTAGTAAAAAAGTGGTGTTACTGTATTGTGTTAACCATATGGTGGTAGACATACTAGTAAAAAAGTGGTGTTACTGTATTGTGTTAACCATATGATGGTAGACATAGTAGTAAAAAATGGTGTTACTGTATTGTGTTAACCATATGGTGGTAGACATACTAGTAGAAAAGTAGTGTTACTGAATTGTGTTAAATAATATTAATAATGAACAATTTTTATAGAATAACACAGAATTGACTTTATAGTTTTATCTAGAGTCGTGTTAGATTTATTTGGTGATGTTCCTGATTGCAAGTTTTTTAGATATATACGAAGCCCAATCTATCACTTGGTATTCTAATTGTCACTTTAGATAAGCTTTTTTTATTAACACATATTATTCCATATTACAGTATCTATTAAAAACAAAGTTTTATTTCCTTGTTTTCTACTTTATTAAATACATTTCTAATAACATTTGTAGTGTAAGTAAAATACTGATATATAGTTTTAACATTTATTTTTTCAGACATCCTTAGTATCATACTCAATATGGTAACACTTACTCCAGTAACATGAGGTAAAAATGAAAAATATTAGATTTCAAAACAGGCAGTTTTACCACTAACATGTGAAAATTGTTTCCTTGTTGAGTTGTTTTTTATGTTATAGAGAAATGTTAATAGTGTTCTGTGATAAAATGTAGATCATGTATCAACTTACCCATAATTCTTCACTGTTCCTCCTGCATCAGCTCTGCTTTCCTTCATAATCCAGTTTTTCTTGTTGTCAGTTATGCTGCTAACTTTGTTACAATTCATTAGAAAATTAATGTTAATTCTGAGGCAGATAGTTCCAACAATAACCACACCTTCTGTGGAGGCTGTCTGTCGTTAGCACGCAAAATGAACCAGTTGCTGCATTGTCGTCCCTTATTGATGAATGTTTGAGGCTGTTAGTGCCGGTATACCTGGCACATTTCATGATTGGTTCGAGGCTCAACTTGTGG